TCTTTTTATAGATACAAATATTTAAGTAAATGCTCTGTTCATAATAAACAGTATTAATGACATTTACCGGCCTGGATGCCCAAGAAATAAACCTTAAAAATGTCTTTATATACATATATATGTGTGCGTGTGTGTTGAAAGTGTGTGTGTATATATATATATATATATATATATATATATATATATATATATATATATATATATATCAATCCAGTGTGTGTATATATATAAATCAATCCAACCAAATATATATATATATATATATATTACAATTATTTATAAATAAAAGTTAAGAACCCTGAATTATAAGTATCACTGTTCTTTCCTGTTTCATATATATATATATATATATATATATATATATATATATTGCTGTGAAAACGTTAAGCTGAATTGATTTTCTTCCTTTTCTATACTCTCCTAAATCATTCACTAATTATATTTATTGTATTTTACTCTTTTAAGCATCTACTGATTAAAAACTTTGAAGAGTAGGAGCGAAACCGTTTAGTTTTCCGCTTTTTATACCATCTGTTTTTAATTAGTTCAAATAAGAATTAGCTTAACGTTTTCACAGCAATACCTAAGTTCTGTAACACTAAGAGTGTTTTCTAATATACATATATATATTTTCATTAACAAGTTCAGACCCATACTTAATTCACTACATAAATAGATTCAACAAAATTCCCTTTCCATAAACGACATTTATAGCCAGTTACGCCCCTTGATTTTCATTTTTTCATTTGTTTAATACATAAGCCTCAACGCGTCGAGATTAGAAGCAGTTAAAACTTTTTTGAAAAGCTATGCGAAACCTGTTAAAGTAAAAATAATTAAAAACAAAGGAAAACAACAAATTATTTTCCTAAGAAAAAAAAACACCGAAAATCCAATTATAAGTACTAAAGTTTTAATTCTTCTTTGTAAAAATTCATCTATTACAAATAAATATCATTATATTAAATATTAGGACGTTTTTTTCCAATCCTCATTTCAGTCTATATAATAAGTTTTTGTACAGAATCTTTCTAACAAAAATTTTTTCCCTATATATATATATATATATATATATATATATATATATATATATATATATATATATATATATATGTGTGTGTGTGTGTGTGTGTGTGTGAACATTGAAGTCATAGGCGACAGGCTGTTTCATACTGGACGAAATCGTCGGGCCGCCGTCCAGCATGAAATAGCCTGTCGCCTCTGAGTGTTGACTTCAATGTTCACTTTTATATTTATATTTACATACACTCTATCTCTGATATTGAGCATTTTATCCCATAATTATTGCACACGTTAAAACTATGTTTCTTTATATATATATATATATATATATATATATGAACATATAATTATTTATTTAAAAATATGATTCCTTCGCTACATAAGAGTTCTCATGTTTCAAAACAAGAACCTAAAACTTCAATATAATCATTTGAATTAAATTGAATTAAAGTTCAGAGCTCTGTTTCATCTTCAAGCAAAATTTACGCGTTTTTATAAGCATATTTTTGCCTAACGAGTTCTTTCCTATTTTCTATATATTTATATATGAACATATATATACACAGTTATCAAATGCTGTAATTATACATAGAAATAAATTCAACCACAACTTTTATCTAAAGAATGCCACACTTATCAAAAGACGGAAAATTCTCGAAAGTGCCGCTCTTGTCTGTAATAAAAATATAAATCTGTCCCACGGATTTTTTTCAAATATCTCCCTTCCTGAAAGGATTACCCCTATCCCAAACCTACGTACCTGACTATAAAAGTGTAAAAAAAAATGAAAAGAAATTGCTTAAATTCATAAGCTACCGTTATTTCAAATATATAATACATAAATTTATCCCAAACAAAAATATTTAAATATTAATTAAATATATTAATATAAAAAAGCAGCAACATCATTTTCTTAATTTCGTTTATTAGAAATTAAATTACGTCACTTAACATCCGCCATAATTTACTGAAACTTTTCAGTTAATTTGATGAACTTTTATGAGCTCCTCTTAAATTTAAAAATTTCCTAAAATTAACTAACAACATTTCAACTTTTTGTTTATAAATTCCTGGTTAAAAAATAAAATCTTCGCATTTGTCTTGATAAAGTACAACGGGGCACTAAACGAGCCGGCCAATATAAGTTATATATATATATATATATATATATATATATATATATATATATATATATATATATTGTATTTAGGTAGCAATCCTTCTTTTATGCATGCTTCATTAAGTATGACAGACAAGTGCTTTGATTAAGATTTTTATATAATTTTTCATGGATCTCATAAGCTTTTTTTTCTTTACCGTAGATAAATGATATAAAAATGTCGAAATCTTTTATTTTTACAAGCGCTTTCGGCTGTACATTTAGCCATTTAAGGATGAATTATATTTACTGTTAACTGGAAATGGATTGTTTGTATGTATGTGTTTAGCATTATAGAATGTTTTATTTTCAAGACAC